CACTAAACTCATATGGGAGAGTAGAACATGATGTTTCCCTTTAAGGGCCAGATTATCTGCTGCTGTGATTTCTGGGAACAACAGAATGTGGTTAAATCATACCTGATGTTTGACAGCGTATTTTAAAGCTTTACGTTTTTGAATTTGTAATTTGAGGAAAAAGTTACTTCTGAAATTCTAATTCTTTTTGTTAAGAGAAATTGTCAGTCTATGTATTTTAGGCTGTTTAGGCATTTAGTCAAACCGCCATTGTTTGCTGAATCAATGAATTTTATCAACCTTTCTTGGATTTAGTTTGATTACTTACACCTATGGAGGCTGGCATTGATCATGCTAGGTCAAGCCAGACTTTATCTCTTAGCTTTAGTGGAACAGGCCTCCGATCGTATTACCACGGCCGTATTTGACTATTAGTATCAAACTGATAATCTGCTTATCAAATGTCTGCTGGTCTCTCTGGGTTTTTCGGTATTATGATTTCGAGCTCTGAAAATTAAAATAACTTTAGGGTTTAAATGGTTGAAGAAGTAAAGAGAAGAACGCAAAGGATTGCCAAAATCCGGAGTTAGAAACAAACACGTCTACAGCAGAACTGGGAAGAAAGACTAGAAAGAAAAATGATGTTAATTTTCTAAGAAATAACTTAATTCTCATACAGTTTTATTTGCTGGAACTCTCTCTATATCTAAAAGGTAGTCCTGGACAGTTATCGTGAATGTCTTATAAACGTCTTGGTCCTTTATTTTGATTTCAGCACCATATAAAGTATAAGATCTGTGAGGAAACTTGCTGGATGAATCCTGCCTCCTCCGTTAAACAGGCGGAAAGCAAACAGCCTTACAGGAATTTACACAGTTAATTCAAACTGGATAAGGCATCCACAAACATTTATCTTGATCGAATCTTTACAGGGGGATCAGTCCTGGTTCCTACCACTTTTGAGAAGCTTCTTGTGGTTCTGATTATTTTTGTTTATGTCTGAAGAAATTCAAAGTTTCCTTGAGTCTCTGGCTGCTGACAGGCAGCCGGGGCTCCCGGCAGAGGAGACGCCGTTTGGCCTGATGGGCCAATCACAGAAGGGATCTGGGATATGGGTTCCCTGATGAGTAAGACACGTCCATCCTAGATAGTTTAAAATCTGAGGAATGGAAAAATAAAAAGTAAACAAGCTGTCATTGATGAATAACTATTAAGTAATTTAATAATAAGCCATTTAAT